AGAGGTGCAAATGTAGCTAAAGTAATACAAAATCACACTCTTGTTTGAATCATGCGATTAAATTGGTTTATTGTTACAGGGGAGCGTTCTAATTTTTCTTGACGCTCATATTGAGTGCACAGAAGGATGGCTTCAACCAATGCTTTCACGTATAGCTAGCGATCGTTCAGTTGTAACCGTTCCACTTATTGATGGCATCAGATCAAGAGATATGAGTTATTATGCAAATAGCTTATATATAAATGGTCTTACTTGGTTTTTAATTTTTACATGGTAAATTAGTGCGTATCAATGAAAGTTTAGAGGTTTAAGATACAAGTATTTTTATTTTTATCTAGGATGTTAGTTCCAGAAAGAGAGATCATTCGAACGAAAAACAATCGAACTGCACCGCTGCGTACACCGACCCACGTTGGCTGTGCGTTCGCTATTGATCGTGACTTCTTTTTCGAAATTGGTTCATACGATGAAGGAATGGTATGTGTTTTGGAACGAATTCAAGATGTTTTTCTTATTAAAAAGATGTTTTTTTCAGGATATCTGGGGGTCCGAAAACGTCGAGTTGGCTTGGAGGGTGAATATCATTTAAGCATGTATTTTTCGAAATTTATAGAATTTTTGTGATTAAATTCAACACTTTAAAGACTTGGATGTGCGGTGGATCAATGGAGATATTGCCGTGTTCGAGAGTTGGACATTTGTTTAGAATATCAACTTATTCGTTTGATGGAAGTTCCCGTGAAATAACGAGACGAAATAATAATCGTTTGATTCAAGTGTGGATGGACGAATTCAAGGATCTTATTTATGCTGCATATCCAAGTAACATTCAATAAAAATTATTCGTGGTTCCTTTTTATTAATCCAATATTAATATTTTACTCACACAACGGATAGCATGGAAACAAACTCCCCCGGGTAATTTGACAGATCGTATAAATCTGAGAAAACGATTGAATTGCAAAAGTTTTCGATGGTACCTTGAGAACGTCTACCCAGAAAGTGTGTGGTTAAGAGAATTAACAGCTATGGGAAGTGTAAGAATCCTATTTTAAAATATAATATTTCCTCAAACTCATACATTTTACTTTTACTTTTTAAAGCATTCGACGCTCCCTTAAAACAATTTTTATCGTTTTTTTTTTCTCTTAGATAAAAAATGGATTGGACAATAAATGCCTGGACGCATACACAAAGGAGATATCACAAGCACTTATACCATATACATGCCATAATCAGGGTGGTGCGCAATTCTTTGCAATCACTGCTCATGGTCAAATAATGACGTACAAAGAGACATGCGTTGGAGTTGCCACTGATAAAAAAACACTTGTTTTAGTTTCATGTCGGGAAGATGATAAATCTCAACTTTGGGACTTTAAAAAAGAGGTTAAAAAATATATTTTCAAAGTTTATATGATCAATTCAAATTTAAACTAAAAAATTTATAGGAACAATGGATAGTACATCGAGAAAGCAATCTTTGCATACGAAAAAATCACACTGAAATTGTACTCGATACTTGTAACCAATTTGTCAGTGAACTCAAATGGGAGCTTATACCACCTGCACAAGAAGAATAAATTTTCATTGTTCATTCGAGTACCAAATTCTCAATTTCAGCGCAACATATTATGTTTGGCTATTTTAGATCAGCTTCAAGATTTCTTTTTATACTGCAGGAATACTCAATATTTTTAAATTCTCGTAAATTATTGAAAGTATTGAGTGTTCATGTTCATGCAGCTTTAATTTGAGTTTTTGAAGTGTAAATCCAGAAAAGTATCAAATTTTGCAGAAAAATCTCATAGATGATCAAAAATGGCCCATCCAAAAACATATTGTCATTCGTAGCTCTAAGATAATCACTTTTTCATGGTATCGCTTCAATAAATTTCTTTGAAATTACTAATTTAAGAACTCGCATTTTTTTTTACTGTTATAAGTTGTCAACAAAACCCCATAAAAGATAAAACAAAATGCTTAAGCTGGAAAATTATTTTTATCTTCATTTGTCTAATTCAATAAAGATACCGATTGATAAAAAATCAAATCTCAACTTTTATAGTTAGATATAAAAAGATACCGTTGCTTTATCTTCTTAAGAAACACGCGTACTTCCATAAAAAGCAAGTGACTTCCTCAAATATTGTGACGTTGACAAGACATTATTCAATGTGTTAATTCATCACATTAGTCTTAAAACACCCACTTGTGGAAATATTTCGACTTCATAGCCGACTATAAATTGACTAATTTGGGACAAAAATGGCTGATATTTCAGCCAGCTAAAGTTAACTATAAATGTCGATTGTGATCATAGTTAACTACGGTTAACTATTAGTATATGAAATTGACTTTTGTCAACTATGTTGACAGTTGACTATAATCACTTTTAGTTAACTCTGAAACATAACCGACTATATTCGATTTCAATCATCTATTGGTAATTTTAACCGAATAAAAGTAATTAAAATTGACTTAATTTATAGTCAGTCAGTAATTTTTTTCACAAGGGAGTGAAATTATAATGTTATTACGTATAAAAATCACACCTAATTGCTTTACAAGAGGAGTGCAGTTGTCCAAAAGAATTGGACTGTGCGTTATTATAATGTGTTTGATTTATTTGAATTTTTCAAATATTTTTCAAGTACTGATAGATATTAATCAGGTATATAAATATTGTCAGCATTTTCAATATGAATCGAAATTAATTATTATATAACGTTTAGAGAAAACAACATTCTAATTCCAATGACGATACACGTCCCAGTTTCCATGAAAATTCTCTTTCAAATTGGCCATTTAAAATA